CAGAGGCGCCTGCCGAGAGTCACCGCAGGGAAACCCTTGGACTCGCACTTGGCCGTTAAGCGGGGCAGTATGTTTTAGGAGTGAAGAGGCCTGTGGCCTTCCTTCCAGGTGCAGGGGAGCAAAGGGGGGCTGGGCCAAACACGCGGTGCTCCAGGACCTTCTTTCTCACCAGGGAGGCACAACGACAGCAGTGCTCCTTGCGTTGTAGGAGGCCACCTGGACCCAGGGTGGCGATGCTTCAGCAGCGTGGCTTCTAGGGACCGTTTGTATTGGTCAGATGACCTTGAGTGGAGTGACCCAGGGCCTGGTGGAGAAGAAAAGCTGGTGTGTGAGACTGCGTCCCCGCAACTGTCTTACGGTGAAGGTCAGGCAGGAGAGGAGGGGACCAGGGTCCCGGGGGGTCGGGGCGGAGGGAGCCGGATGAGTCAGGGATAGACACTGCTTCAGATTCCCGACCCAGGATTGTGGTTTGTCTTTGATTGTTTTTGGTGAAGAACGTGGATGAAGTTAAGCAAGCAAAGAGGCTACATGGAAGAAAACAGGTTTTGGAATCACCCAGACCTTGGTTGAGGTCCTAGCCTAGTCTCTTTCCGGCTGTAACCTGGAGAGACCACTTCCCTTCTCTGAAACGCAACGGCATTTTCCTCGTGGAGCTAATAATGCCTATTTGGAGAGACTGTTGTAGAGTAGAAACACAAAACCGTTTTGACACATGGTTTATGACACGTGCTCACTGAGTAATAGCTATTAACTTACTGCTACTCTCAAATATCTCGCAAGCAGACACTTCTCCATCTTCTCCAATGTATACAGTTTCAGGCTCAATTAAAATTGTCCGAAACTGGGTAAACCAAACCTTTCTTGAGAGGCTGGCTGACCAGTGTCTCCTGGCTTGACAGGCCTCACCCAGGCTCAGCTCAGTAACCAGGAGGATGCCGCTGGCTTCCGCCCGAGAGCCAGGACCGGAAGTCCTGGGAATGGAGCTGCCATTCTGGGCATTGGGCGGATATTGGCTCATTTAGTACAAGATAGAGGCAAGAAAATGAAAGCCTGGCCAGGCCAAGGCCCTCACTCCTCAGGGTCCGGAGCGGGGGCTGGTTTCCTGTAGCGCCTCGCCCTCTGGGTTGCGCTCACTGGCAAGTGCCGCATGGCAGTGGGAGGTACTGTACGCCGCTTTTGAGGAAAACGGCCGCTTTCCGGCTACTTGCCCATGTCCTTCCCGTGTCTAAGCCACGGAGAGCAGTGGCGCCTGATAGGGATAGGCGGGCTGGCCTCTGACTTCAGACATGGTTGGAACCACCTTGTGGAACATCTGTGTGGCCACAGCACATAAAAATGTTTTGCTCTGGCAGCCACTTTCATGGGATGTAATAATATATGCATTGCAAAAATAGTTCTATTTTTGGTGGGTCAGCATTGCCAGCAAGCTGACCCTGACCAGGTGTGGAGGGAGCCGGCAGGGCTGTGAGCAAGGGGGCTAAGGAAACAGGTCTGTGTGTGCCAAGGCCTCTGCCCCACCCCTCAGCCCACCTTCCTTCCCTCCCCCGGTCCCTGCTGGGCCTTTAACTTGGGCTCTGCCTGCTACAAGCTTAGAGGGCCCCTTGTGTCCTCCAGGGGAGTTAGTCCTCTCCTGGGAGAGAGCGAGCCTTCTCACTTCCCCCCTCCCACGCCCCGCCCCCGTTGTTACCTTGGAGCATCCAGTGGCTTCTCCAGTGGTTCCAGCCTTTCCTTTCCAAGAAGGTGGGTTGGTCATGTGACTTGACTTACCTTGATGGCCCAGAGCCCTTTGCCAACAGCCCTAGCTTCACTTCGGGCTCCGGGTGCTTATTTAAAATGGGGCCCTCAATGAGCTCAAAGCCCCCTCGCTTCCCTGGGGGTGCCAGGAATCAGCCCTCTGCGTGGAGCTCAGGAGGGAGGGAGGCTAATTTGTAGAAGGCCATAATTCATTGGGTTCAGACTCCCCCAGGCTCTCTAAGCAGCCCTCAGTCTGGGCACAGGAGCCATTTTCATGTGGGGTGGGGGAGAGAACACAGTCCCGGTGTGTTGGTGTCCAAATACCTTTTAGAAATGGGTAGACAGAGCCCTGTCCCCCTCCAGAGGGTGCCCCCAACTCCGTTCACCTGCATACACTCCACAGGGTTTTGCTGAGGCCAGACAGTGACCCAGCTAACACTGAGCTCTGCCTGGGGTACTTATCAGACCCGGTGGGGTCTAACGGTGGGGAGTACCTGTCGCTTTTAAGTTCACAGGCACTCTCACTTCCCCTGTTTTGCGGGGACCTTTGGGGTCTCTGAGGATTCAGACTCCCCAGGATCACTGGCCAGAGAGTGCCCGGGACAGTTCAGGGCCCAGTGTTGGGGGCAGAGAGGCCGATCGTTGTAGCGTCTCCCTTCCTCCTTTCCATTTGACCAGTCCTCAGCCAGCACAGTCTTGCCAGAACCAGACATCTTTGTTCTGCAGAGATTTGTCTCATACCTTTAGAAGGGCCTGTGAGGCCATAGGCTTCAGACTGTCACTCTACCCCTCTTGCAGCATCTTTGACAAATGGTGCCCCATTTCTCCTCCAACCCCTCTAGTGACCTGGGCTCGTTGCTTTATGAGCAGATGCCTGTTGCAGACAGCGCTGCCATCCCGTGGTGTTCCCTCGCTGCCCTTGGCAGTGACCTGAATTGGGTCTGCTCCCCTTGCCGGAGCACTGCTCGGATCTCCCAAGTCCCCGTCCAGCCCGAAGTGTCCCCAGTTTTTTCCCATTTCTTGGGGTTAGGGTGTTCAGATCTCTTAAGCTGGCGAACTCCAACTTGTACATGGCTCTCCAAACGCAGCATCCCGACTGAATCCAGCCCTGCATGTAGCTGGGCCAGGACAGAACCGAGGGACCGTTGGCTTCCTGAGCAAGTCAGGAAGCCTTACAGCCACAGCTGCTGATCTGGGCGCCAGCGATGGTTTCATGTATGTACCTAAAGGTGCATGAAAGCTGTTGCAGCAGCCACATCACAGTCAAACTTGAAATCATCTAAAAACCACAAGCCTCCTCACAGGACTTACCCCCGTTTTGTACTCAGTGAGGCTAATGTTTGAGTCCAAGTACCTGGTTTGCATTTACCCAGGTGAATGATCAGCGTACTGAGGCAGGAGGAGCACAGGCGTTGGAGTCTCCCGTGCTGTGATCTGGGCAGATCCTGACATCTTTAAGATTCAGTATCCGTGGGTATAAAATAGTTTTTATTGAAGACTGAATGGAATAAGGTGACTGCCACCGGGGAAGCTCTCGTGCTTGGCAGCAGCTGTGCTCAGTGGCCGACCCATGTTCCTGCGTTCCGACGTGACGCTTGTGATCATCTCCACCCTCGATGCTGTTGATAGGATGCTGCTGCACCCTCTAAGCTGTGCCTTCCTTTAAATCCTGGGCAAACAGGCCGGCCCAGGACCAGGTAGAGCATCCTTCAGGATGCCACAGAGGGCCAGCAGAGGCTCCATCTGAGCGGCCGTCGTTCAGCCCCGCCTCTCAGCCACGGGCACAGGAGGTAGATGGGAACCTGCCAGAGTGCCGTGAGCTTCCTAGAGGAGCTCTCTGTTCTTCCAGCCCAGCAGCCCATTCAGACAGGAGATAGAGATTCTCGGGGCAGAACTTGTGCATACCGATCCCGTGCTGGCTCCCAGAGACGCCAGATTTTAAAGTGTGCCAACAGATGATTTTTAATAGTCCATAAAGACGCCTGGATCAATGTCAAACTAGTATTTAATTCCCACCTCTAATCTTCCTCCTTTACGAAAGTGGGGTCGGCCTCTGCCCTCCTAGTGCGCTGGCACCTCTGAAGTGCGCTGTCATTTTTCAAGGGTTGCTATACCACAGAATCAGATGTGTCTGACCCTGGAAGGGAGGTAAAAATAGGTGAGAAGGGGCAGCGACCGCTAGCCTCGGAGCACACACGCCATCGCCTACCCTGACCATCTGCCCTGCTCTGGTCCTGAAGGGGGTCAGCCTCCCTGCCTTTTTCTTTGCTTTTTCTTTACTAGTCTGAATTCATTTTGAGCTGGTACTGTTCTTATGTTTTCGTCCTGTTTCTTGATTCCCTATTGCAGCTTACATGTCTTATTTCAACAGCAATGGTAGTGCTGGCTACCTGGTCTAACTTTCAGTTTAGTAACAGTGAGCATTCATGTGCTTACCAATAAATCCCTCCTTAAGGAATTGATACTCTTGTAAAGAAAGTAATCCTTCAGCATAGGAGGAGAGTGGGGAGCACAAATAAGTGCTCATGTCAGGAACCTCAGTTCCTTCTTCTTTGTCTGAGACTCGAACTGCTGGGTTCCCCCTCCTCCAAAACCCGACTCAGTGGTGTCCCTAGGAACCTGAGATTCTCTTGTTCAAATTCTTCATGTCACTCAGCCACTGCACAGCCTCACAGAGCAGCAAGAATGCAGGCTCTGCAGTAAGAAAGGGTTTGACCCAGGTCCTGCCCTTACCTCTTTGTGACCTTGGACAAATCACTTTATCTCTGAGCCTCGATGTCTCCTGTCACCCAGGGCTGTCAGTCCCTCCCTCCGTAGCTGGCGTTACAGGAACAGTGGAGGCACAGCAGCTTCCTGGCAGATTGGACGCTCCAACCTGGGGACAGACACCCTGTGCCTGTGCCTGCCCTGAGCGGTGGTGTGAAGACACCAAGCGCCTCTTCTCTGGCTGGCCCCGGAAGAGTCGGTGCCTGATGAGGGCACTCACCTCTGCCCTCCCTGCTGCGGCCTTGATGGGGTGTCTGCCACACCAAGGGCTGCAGCACAAGATGTGCCCCTGGAAACCGGGACCTGGGCTTCTGCTGGCTGGGCTGTTTATGACCTGTGCTGGGGTCCCCCTCCTGGGAAAGAGGGCTCGCACCTCCTGCGGTGTCTCAGGGAGCTGCCGGCAGGAATAACAGGCTCTTTGCAAACTGGGGAGGGGGGCGGGCATTCTCAGGGAGCACTGGGCTAGGTCTGACTTGGAGGAATGTTTTTGTCTTTTGCAGATGGAGAAAGACGAAACTGTGAGCGACTGCTCCCCACACATAGCCAATATTGGGCGCCTGGTAGAGGTGAGTGGGCCTTCTGGACTCGGCCCGTTCCTGCGACTGTGGTTTGCTCTCCCAGACGTGCCATTTTGCCCCCGGAGCCTGGAGCCTGGCTTGCTGGCCTTCTCCCTTGCTTCTTCCAACCCCGCGGCAGCCAGTGGTGTGCTTCCCATGCTTTTCCCTGGCCTTGTGTTTTCAGAGCATTCTGATCTGGGTGCAGGCAGGGCTCGGCTCCAGAGGCACCCCCACCCGCAGACCCAAACCCACGTTTCCAGAGGCTCTGCTTGGGAAGCCCTAAGTGCTGTCTCCCCCAGTCTACTGGGTGTGAGCAGAGACCCAAGCTTGGGAAGGAAACAGGTCCCTGGCCCGCCAGTGGGCTCTGGAAGAGCTTGAGTCGCGCTGCTTTCCGTTCACCACGCTGTTGGGAATAAGGGAAGGTGCTCTCGGTTTCACAGAATTGTTCACACGCTTGGTGGAAGGGGAGGGCGGTGATGTGGTTGAGACCAGCTCCCAGCAATGGTCAGCATTGCCGCCAGTACCTGGGTATTGGCTTCCTGCGTGCCTGTGGGCGGGAAACTGCACAGAGCACCAATTATCGGTGGGTCCCCTCCGCCAGGGGCTGGCTCTGCCGGTCTTGGTGCAGTCATGTGGCTCCCCCCTGTGGTCACGGCGGGGACTGCAGGGGTGAGCTGCGGGGAGGGTGTGGGTTTCGGGACTCCAAACTATTTGCCATTGAGTCTGTCTGCACTCCCTTCCAGGACATGGAAAACAAAATCAGAAGTACGCTGAACGAGATCTACTTTGGAAAAACAAAGGACATCGTCAACGGGCTGAGGTAATGTACCCAAAAGTACAAGCTTTGGAAACCAAAAAGGCGTGGATTGGAATCTTAGGTCTGCTGCTCAATAGCTGTATGAGCTTGGGCCTCAGTTTCCTCGTTCATAAGCTGGGGCTAAGGTACCCACCTGGGAAGATTGTTATGCAGACTTTGAAAGGCAAAGCACCTTGTACGTGGCTTACACTCTCAGTAGATGTTGGTTCTGACCTCTGCCACTTTTGTCACCTGTGGCTGTTCCTCTAACTGCCATCAATGCCCTCATCCCTGAAGTCGGTCTCCCCTTGGTCCCCAGGTGTCAGTCGCATCTAAAGAACCTGCCCAGCCCCTTTGGCTCTGAGGTCTGAGGGGACTTCCAAACCAGACGCTAAGGCACACGAGGGAGTGCAGACCGCCCGGTGGCCTGGGCTCCTCTGGTTGGCTGGGTTTCAGGGCAGCAGAACGTTCTACAGAAAGAACGCCTTCACCCTGCTGCTTTCTGGAGGGAGTCCAGCCACTCCGATGTCCTCTGCCAGGCTCCGGTGGCTGTGACCAGGGTCCCGAGCTGCCCCTCCCACCTCTCCTGGGCCCTCAATTCTGCACTGTCAGCTGATTGATGGAAGGCAGAGAAGGACTCTCTGGGTCCCCAAGGTCTGTGGTAGCAGAGCAGAAGGCTAGAGAGGGGGCAGTGGAGACCTAGGAGTCAGGAGGCCAGGATCTCATGCACGCTCTGTCACCCTGAGCTCTGCGACCTTGGACGAGACGCTGCTCTCGGAGGCCCTGTCCGGTCAGGGAGGCAGGGCTGCTGAAGGGATCAGATGAGATGGAGCCTGTATCCTACAGCCCGGCACGCCATGTGAGTCCCAGGGCTCATGCTCCTCCTTGGCCTCCAGCCCTCTGATCCCCCATCTGGGTACAAATCTCTCCTTTTGGGCCAGAAGGAGAGGCAGGAAGCAGCTTGGGAGGCTTCCCTGGCTTGTGAATTTGTCCAGCAGACAGATGTTTAGTCTCCTGCTCATACAGTTTTGAAATAGTGAGTGTCCCCTATTGGAGCCTGATCGTCCCCATGCGCCAACTGGCCCCTAGTGCGTTTCATTCCCCGCCTCGGGCAGCGTTGCTCTCCTTTCACTGTTGAGCCTGTGGCCTCATAGGTCGTCTGTGCCAGAGCTTCCTGCCCTGGGGCCACTGCCCCATCTGCACCAACCCAGGCGATGGCTGGAAGTAGAGATGCAGACAGCCTGTTGGGGGGTGGCGGTCGTGAGCCCCGGACACGTGACTACTGTCAGCACGGAGCTCTGTGCCACGGCCTCCACGCCGCAGCCCAGCGTGGCAGTGGCCTTGGTGACGTCCCCTTTCTTCTGCCCTGTGTGTTCCCCTGTATCTCCTCTCAGCTGTCCCCCGCCCTGTCCTCCCAGACCCGTGTTGTCCTCCCCCTCCTGCTGTGCTCACCTCTGAACACTCTCTGTAGATCTGTTGACGTAATCCCTGACAACCCCAAGTTTCAGCAGCTGCAGAGGGAGCTTTCCCAAGTGCTGACCCAGCGCCAGATCCACATCCAGCCTGATAATTAGGCCGATCCAGGTACCCTGCCTGAGAGGCACAAGCACCCTCCCCACTAAACAGGACTCACCTGCCGAGACCCCGCCGGTCTGGCTGCTGCCGTCGCGGCCACTTAAACCACCACTAACCCCTGCGTCTGCTCACAGCTGTGAGCAGCCGCATAACGTGTAGTCTCAGCCCCACGTAACATGGACCCATATCGCATATGCGGGTGTGTGTGTGGGTCTGTGTGTGGGTCTGTCTGTGTGTCCATGTCCGTCCCTCTGGGCGGGGTTGGGTGTGGGGCAGACAGGTGGTTTTGGCTTTGGCTCCTGGAGAAGCCCAGCTTGGGGGACCAGCTTTGCCTCCAGCAGGAGCTGCCTGCCTGCTCTGCTCTGTGTGTGGCCAGGTCCTCCCCAGCTTTTCCACCAAAGATCCTAGAAGCCAGATAAGCCCCTTCTAGTGGGAAATTGGCTGTTTGGGTCCACCTGACTTGGAAGGGGTGTATCTCTCCAAGTTTGAGGACGGAGCACAGAACAGGAGCCGTAGTCCCCCTGGCTGGGCCAATGCACCCCAGACCAGTTGCTGCTGGAGCTGCCTGGACCAGAAATAACCTTCCCCCCTAATGAGCTGCAGCTGTCCTCTTAGATGCCTCACAGTGACGGAAGGGAAGCAGTCTTGCTTGTTGATAATGGCCGAGAACCATGACTTGAGCTTGTGACAAATATGAAAGCAGTCAGCATCCCCGGGTTGGGGACAATGGTTTTCACATAAGGCATTTGCAAACCCAGCCAGGCAGGGCTTAGGGGCTTACCCCCAGGCTCGGGGACTGGACAGCAAGGGCCCAACCCGGAAGAGGCTGGGGGGGTGGGGCGGAGGCACTAATGTAACCAGGCGGAGCGGAGTCCTTCTGCTCCATCCGTGGGACTTAAGCATATTGGTCTGGGCTGTGTGTGCCAACTTCAGGCCCAAGGCACCTGTCAGCCTCCAGCCTCATGCTGGGACCAGCACGTACCCACCACAGCATTGAGGGAACCCCCTTTTTAAGGTGATCCATGATAGCATAGTTTTCTCCCCTGCCTGTCAGAGCTTATACGTGGGTCTAGAGTTTTCTGGGCCCATGGCCTTGGCCAGGCCCACAGCCACACACTGGAGGCTTTCTGGCATAGGAAACTTCTGCAGCAGTCGGCAGCCTGGCACCCCGTCTGTCTGGGACACATCCTCCCTCCCACTGAGTTAGCGTTCCCTCCAGGCATTGGTTCGAGGTTGCTTAGCAATGACCTTCCCAAGCTCTGTCCCCTAAATGCTTCTTACACCTCCCGCCGTCCCAGCCTAACCTGCCTCCTACCTGATTCTAACTCTGGTTCTAACTCTGGAACTTTCTCCATTGTGGGGGGTGGCGGCCTGGTGTGCTCGGCCCGTCCTTCCAGAAGAGCCAGCGCTCCTCAGGCCGGGACCCTTGGGAGCTGCCACTTCGCCCGCCACGTCCTCTCGCTGTCATGGTAACGTCCCTAGGAGCTCTGCCAGGAGCCCATGATGGACTGGCTGAGACTTGGAGCCCGAGGGCCACCATGGCTGATATCCAGCCCTTTCTTTGGCACCTGCAGAGCCAGGGGCAGTACAGGGCAAATTTGCAGAAATGAGTACTTCAGTAGCATCAACCAAAAATGTCGTGATTTCTCATGGGCATCTTTTCAGATGTATACTGATTCTTTCAAAACCTTGTCTATTCCATTTCACTCTTACCATTTTGAGGATGCTACCTATGCTTTTTCCAGGATTCAGTAGCCAGAATTCACGCTGGGATGCTGTGGTTTCTCCTGGGTCCTACTTTATCTCACTTCACCCATTTTCGGCATTTGGGGATTATCTTTTGATCCCCGCTTCCTGTTCTTTCTCACGGTCAGTGTCTATCAAACTTGAGATTCCCGCAGAGGACGCCATCCACAGCATTCCTGGGAGGCAGCCTGCTACCCTTTCTTTCCACTGCTTTGACGCTATTAAAAGTTTATAGTTTAATTCGTTCTCGGTTAACCAACACGTTGGGTAAATTTGACAGTGATCATTCAGGTCACCGCCAGGGGCATGTCTCTGAGCCTCAGTTTCCTCATCTATGAATTGGTAATAATGCTAAGATCCCTCCAGGATGCTTGTGAGCCTTAAATGAGAAATGTGTGTGAAAAGCACTTTGTAAGTTGTACAGCCTCTGCAAAGCTTACTTGTTAACTTGGCCTACGAGTGTTAACATCCGTGTGTAATGCACACACGTTAACATTTCCCTCTAAGTACAAGACCTGACAGCAGGGACCCACGGCCACTTACCTCAACCCTACGTTGCCTCTTGAAACCCAGGCTGATGGGTTTTCTTGGCCAAGTTCACAGCTGATGGTGCCTCACAGCAGAAGCCTGAAAGCACCCGTCCTTTATGTGCTGCCCTGGCCATGAACCCAGTGTGCTCAGATGCCCAGGCACAATGGTTCTTAAACACTCGCTGAGTGGGGCGCCGTGCGCCCTGCACTGGAGGGGCGAGCCCGGAGCCTCCGGTGCTGGGCAGGGTGTGGTGAGGGCAAAACTTCACAGCCAAGTCCTCATGGCCCTGACCTGAGTCTGCAGCTGGTCTGAAGCACTGAGGGTCTTCAGTGCGTTGGGGCCTGTGCCAGAGCAGTGAATTAGGGTCCTGGTGGCCATGGCTAAGTAACCCCCACCCTGGTGCAGAAGAGAGCATTTGTCCAGGTGAGCTGTGCGCCTCACCTCGCCCAGCGAGGACCTGAGGCTGTGGGTCTCAGGCTCTGTGCCCCCTCCGCACCTCCACAGCTATCCTTCCAGACAGGATCGGTGCTTCCCAGCCCAGGGACCCACACCCTCGCCCCAGGAGGTCACTCTCGTGGGCAGTGTCTGAGCCCGACACCAGTGCAGCAATGCCTGGCCCCTCACCACCACACCTCTTCCTGTTAAACCTACTAATAACAGTTCTTTTCCTCCATGGCAGGTCTGTGCAGACTTTTGCAGACAAATCAAAACAAGAAGCTCTTAAGAACGACCTGGTGGAGGCTTTGAAGAGAAAGCAGCAATGTTAAACCTCTGCTTCACGCTGACTGGACATGCCATGCACACATTAGATTCCTTTCTTAGAAAACTCGTTTTCTGCTCCCTTCCCCTGTCCCTTCCCTCCCCAACAGGTCACACAACTCGCTTCATCGACCTGCACAGCGCCATCTCTCCCCGAGAATAAAGCCGCTAACACCCTTCTCCGTCTCCAAGGCCTGCTTCCCACCACGTTTTGCTATCACAACTCAGTGTTTCCATAGAGACCGTGTGTGTTTTGTTTGCCCCAGCTCCCTGTCCCCCACCACCACCACCCATTTATAGACATAAAATACACTGTCTGCCTCCCCTTCCCTCCACCTTTTTGTTACATTGGTGTAAAAAATGTAAAACAAAAAAATTTTATGAAATAACTGGTGTGTGAAAGATAGAAGAAAAACTGGAAGTCTAATTCCACGTGTGTTTGGGAGTTGCTTGGGGTTGGGGGTGGGGCAGGGGACAGCTCTGGGAGAAAAGAGAGGTGGCCCTCAGCATTGCCCTGCACAGACTGGCCCCTGTCCCACGGAGACCACATTGGGGGGGGTGGGGCCTGCTGACCGTTCTGCTCTTCTGGCCAGGTGCTTTTCTGTCAATTTTTATGGAATGCAAAAGGAGTTTTTTGTTTTATTTTGTTTTTTTTGTAAAGCTTAAAAAAAAAATCTACATCTTATACTTGAGCTTCCATACTTAAAAAAAAAAAAAAAGGAAAAAAAGAACAAAAAAATAAATAAAAAGAAACTGGGACGCAGTTAGTACCGGCCTTGTGTTCTTTCTCGTCTGCCTCACTTTCCATGCACGTGCAGCTTTGGCCATGAGGGCTGACCCCAGGTGGGGACGTGTGGCAGGCCGGCCTCGGCGGGGTGCTGGGCAGGGACTTCTCATGAAGTGAGAAGAAAAGGGGCTTCCATGCAGACAGACCCCAAGCCCTTCATCTCTGGTTCTCCCCACCCTGCTTCCGGCGTTCCTTTCATCTTAACAAACACCTACTGTGTGCGGGTATAGACACACACTGTGGACACACACCCGATGCCGTCTTCCTTCACCATAGCCCTTGGCAATGTGAGGAAACAGAGCTGAGGTAAAGCGCCTAAGGCCTTGCAGAGCTGCAGAGTCCACGCTCTGCTGGCTAACACCAGGGTCACACCCTTAGCCCCTCTGGTCTGAGGCACCTGGGTCCCATCTAGCTTCTCTGCTTGGTCTGAGGAGAAAGTTCCCAGGGCACATCTTTATTGAGTGCAAAATACCATGGACATAGACATAGGTAAGAGGAGAAACCCATCATGTGACCAAAAATAACACTTGGAACCCAGAAATTGTGTGTGCGATGCCAGCCAGGCCCCATCTTGCTCCACCTTCTAGAATCTTCCATGGGAGCCATTCACTGCCCTTTTGATGCTACGTCAGGCTGGTGAACAATGGGCTCTCTGATACCAGTTTTCTTAGGTGAAGGGCAGCTGGAAGCAAGTGACAAAACAGGAGTGTTTGTTCCCTGGCTCGGGGCCACCTCACAGCCACTCCTTGATCTGCTCCTACTGAGGCAAACTCCGGCTTGCCCGAGACCAGAGGGAGGCTAAGGAAATGGCACAAAGGAGCTTGGGAGGGTTGGCTAGCCCTCTAGGTCCACGGGCTGTGGGCAGCAGACCCAGGTTCTGGCAGCATGAGAGCAACACCCCACCCCACCCTCGGCCTACTAGATGCTTCCTGAAGGTGCCCACTGGTGCCGCTGAACAGAGTGGGAGGCAGCTTTAGTGACGTGGGGTGACAGAAGCCTGCCGTCTGGTCTGAGCCCTGCAAGAACTCATCAGCACCCCACAACTGGTGATGCTCTTCACCTACAGGGGTGAGGGCTCAGGTGGCTAACGGGGCATTCCCTGTCTCCCCAAGGCCCTTTCACTGCCCCCTTGGCTGTGGTCTTGACAAGTCAGCGCGTGAAGCCCTTCAATTCATTCACATCATGGACTAAGCAGCCGCTGTGTGGCAGGTCTGTGTTTCCCCTAAAATAAGACCTAACTGGAAAATAAGCCCTAGCATGATTTTCAGGGTGCTTGTAATATAAGCTCTACCCCAAAATAAGCCCCAGTTAAGATCGTCAGCCAGACATGACTGTATTTGAATAAATGTAGATATTTGTACATGAATAAATGAATAAAATAAGTCTTTTGGAGCAAAAATTAATATAAGACCCAGTCATATTTTTGGGGAAACATGGTATCTTGAGTAAGAGCTCTACTGAGTTTGCAATTTGCTTTTCTGCCCCTTAGGAAGCAGGTGATTAGTAAAGAGATAACTTTAGAAGGAGCTGGTGCTATTTTTTCTTGTTTCATAAAAAGTGGTTACAATTTGTATCATTTCTACTCGGATTATTCAATTAGCTTTTTTTTTTTTT